GCACAAAATCCAATACAATTAACCGAAGAGACATTACACGTACCTATGTGTACTTACCTACCTACCTATAGAACATAAGCTTAGTAAATACAATCTGTTTATCTTACAAATGTGTACACAAACACACTACGTATTGTTACGAAACGATTGATTGGATATAGCCGTGTTATAGTAGATATATGTATTTACGTAGATAGATAGATATAGTACCTACTTAAGTGTACGTAGTGCGAAGCATTAACAAGTAATCAATATTGATAAACTGATCGACGGGCGGCACTTTAACAAATACCTTAGGAGACGGAGAGCTTTATTGATTTCATTAATTAAACATTGGCTTTATTGTTTCTCGGGGCTACGGCAAAACCAGCCTGGAGCAATAAGTGTGGGAGAGCCATGCTTCGGCACGAATGGGTCGGCTCGACCGGAGTGATACCACGGCCTCACAGAAGACCGGCGTGAAACAACACACAACACATAGCGTTGTGTTTCGCCGTGTGAGTGAGGTTACCGGAGGCCCAATCCTTCCCCGCCCCCAATCCCTCCTCAATCTCTAAATCTCCAAATCCCTAATCCCTAAAAGGTCGGCAACGCACTCGGAAATCCTCCGTTGCGGGTGTCCATGGGCGGCGTTGATTGCTTACCATCAGGTAATCCTTAGAAAAAAAAAATAAAAAAAAAATAGAAGAAGCAGGACCGGGGTTCTAGTCAGTCAGTATATAAAAAATGTAACATATTACAACCAGGTTTGCGGGTCTTGCGCAATTACATATCGCGACCTCGGCCTGGAGCATTAGAAGAAACGGGGGGTTCTAGTCAATAAAAGTCTGGTACTTTCTCTCGCCTCACCCCAGAGAAGTCATCTTTCATGATCATGTCTTTTTTGAGGGTTAGTTATCAAATGAATCCTCCTGATCTGGGTGGGGCAAGAGAGAGAGTGGCTCTTACTAACAAAAAACCACCCGGTTCCTTTTCCTACTCCGACCGCGGTCCGGTCACGGAAACCTGTGACTTAGCAGTAAGAAGCTTGCCTACTTATTATACAAAGTTGTTAGTAGCAATATATAGTATGTAATTAACAACTAGCTGCAGAAAGATAGATCGATACTTGTTGATGTTAGGGCGAAATCATCATCATCATCATCAGCCTATAAGTGCCCACTGCTGAGCAAAGGCCTCTTCTCATACGGAGAAGGTTAGAGCATTAATCACCACGCTTGCTCAATGTGGGTTGGCGATTTCAAACTTATAATTAGAAATGATAAGTCCAGGTTTCCTCACGATGTTTACCTTACCTTTATCTTCACCGTAAGTGTGGTGTCTAAATAATCATAGAAAGTACATATAACTCGGAAAAAGTCACATTGGTACTTGCCAGGTTTCGAACCCACACCCTCATGCATGAGAAGCGGGCTCCTTATCCTCCCTACCACCACGACCTCTACTACGAAGGGCGAAATGCGGACTCTTTTTTATGACTTAAATTATTTTGTTTTAATAAATAAATCGGTCTTGTAAATTTTCTTAGTTAGTCTTGATTTTATTATTTTACAAAACGCGTAGCTTAGAGAATTTTCTTAAACATATTAAATATGAAGTAAAATAATGTGTGTTTTACGGTATTTTCAAGCTTAAACTAGAATTAAATTAGCAGCTCCAGAGGGAAGGGGTAAAGGATGCAAGTTTCCTAATCGATTCATATGAGTTCCTATTAGATCAACTCATATGAAGCGAGTGAAAATTTAATTATTTCCGGCTTCAAGAAATATGTTGTCCGTAGCTACTGCTGTAAAACTTTCTATATCAATATGATTTTAATGATTTTTATTCTAGTTATTAGAATTATTTTAAGAAGCTTTTGCTTAGTGTAGAGACGAAGAGTGAAGAAGAGAGTCACGCTTTGGCAAAAATCGACCAGCTCGACCGCACAGGAAAGTGACGTGAAATAATTATTGTTAGGTACGAAGGTTACTGGAGGCCCATCTCAGTAAAATTAAATACAGGCCATAGTAAAACACTTCATATATTGTTGTCATTGTCAATGTTTCTCAGTACTAAAATGAAAAAAAAAATAGAATCTACATCCATCACGGTAAGCGATCACCTAGCTAATTTATCCCAATTCAGTTTGTAAACTCATGGCAAAGTTCCATCTAGCCCGATGGAACTTTGCCTCATGTCAAACCTATCTTTTTTATGTAACTAGGTACATTGAACTTTATGGTCATTTTAAAGATAATCGGTGTGAAATAACCATAGAGTTGTGTTTCGTCGTGTGAGTGAAGTTATCGAATGCCTAATTCTTAAATATCTGAAATCCTAGAGTTCAAAAAAAAAACCGGGGCCGATAACTTGCACTCGCCGATTACAGATAGAAAAGTACGTAGAATCTTTAATCAAGATTGTTCTTCGCCTAGTTTGGCTAGCAATTATGCATATGGCATTAAGCCCACTATAGTATTACTTTCTTAAATTACGTACCTATCAAACTTCGATCTTTTTTTTCTGAAGATCAGCTCACTTTCTTCACGGGACCGTGAATAGATTTACGGATGATTGGATTGACTAGGCACGTGCCGGGAGGGTCGAAACGCGATCCCAACTTCTAGAGGGCTATACACGTGAGGACCAAATATAAGACTTTTATATATATTAGTACCTATACGAAGGTAGGAATGCGGCCAGAGGTATAATAATGATTGATTTTTTATTGCGGGTGAAACCCGTCGCGGCGATATCAAATATCTAACAGATCTCCGAGATGTTTTCTTTTTTTGAAATAACGAAGGATATTATAGAAAATCAATCGAAAACTAACAATAACACGCACGTTTATTACTGAAGTAAGGGATCGGGTGTTGGAAATAAACAAAGACTAAATGAAAAAAGTCTTTGTTTTTATAATAACTATCGTCAGACATACTAAACTAACTAAAAATCGCGGGTTACTCACGTGTATAAATTGAGAAAAGCTCTACTAGTTTCGAACCACAGAGGGGTTCTTCCTCATGAGCAGCGTGCGCGGACGCGGCGACGTCGCGCAAAGTCTTTATTGCTGCGGCTCTGTATTTACAGATTTATGCCAAATATGATCATTATCATTAGTGTAATACTTATTAATTAACATCACTTAAAAATAGATTTATACTAATACTTATATTATAAAGTGATATTTGTAAGTTTGTATGTAGGGTGTAATTATTGGAACCGCTGCCTGGTCGGATTTCCAAGACTCTTTTACTGATATATAGGTAGTTACCCACACACTTAAATTATACTGATTGGCGTATTTTAGTAGAGCTATCGCTTTAAACGCCGCTGTTTTTAAAATCCCAGTATACATTACTGTTATACGCGTGCGACATCGCGGACGAAAGCTAGTAATACATAAAAAAAATATTGCGCCTTTCTACCTACTTACTACACTTACCACACACTAAGCATAAAATCAACATTCCGTACGTACCTACAATCGATATATTTCTGGGTCCTAACATTATTAATTAACACATATTACCAATAAAATTAATTAGAACATTCATTTGTCGTTATTAAAGATACTGGTATTAAGGAAGTGAAGCCAGGCTTCCGATTTTGACCTTGACGTGCGATCAAGTCATGCGATATGGCAACACTATGTCATACTTGATTATGCTTTAAAAAGATTTTTAAGGTCGACCGTAATAGGATATTTTTATAGCTAAAGTAAGTAAATGGCTTTCTTAATAATCTCATAGAAAGAAAGGCGAGCCCCAGTTTTTAATAAAAATTACCTACCTCATTTTGAGCTCATCATTGAGTTTGTCTTCAGAAAAAGCTTCTTCCTTTTATAATCTGCCCGTTTATTATGTATTTCAATTACGTAGGTTGGCTTAATAAACATCTTTTGATTGTTACTCGATCTTAATATGAATTTATTTTTAGTGTCTTCTAATATGAAAAATGCTTTGCTATATAATAATATACATATGTTTGGTATTTCATTGTTTCATTAAACAAAAAACAAAATTGTGTAGAATTTACCATTTTAATTTAGTAAAAACAACTACAGTCTTGTTATAAAGAAAAAGGGTCCATAATTTGACGTAAACACGCTTAGCCCAGACGGGTGCTAGCTAATAATAACAGTTTCTAAAATCTGAATGTTGCCTAACCGTGGAACTGTCAGTTGTTTATTTTCCCGCCTAAATACCAGCGCGGCAAATACTACCTAAGTAAATTATCGCTGCCCTAACCATAGCCAAACTGTTTTTTTTAACATTCCAAGCAATGCCGTAACGCCTTAATTTTTTATTGTAAAGGTAGAAGAAAATTGAGCTTTATTTTGAGGTAAAATTTAGCGTTTCGTTTTCTCCAATCATATTATATTTTGTGTAACGTGTTAACGCTTCGGAGGTTTTAGCCGTACGACGTGAGAGATTGATGAGAAACGTAATTTTCCAAAATAAAGCTGCGAAAGTAAAATAACTTGCTCGTGTCTTACCAAGCGAATGTTAACTAAGATAAATATGCTAGACTGTTAGTTATGAGGTAGCAAGACTATTGATCACTTCTGAAATCCGTTTCGCCTTAGGATTACAACTTTTATCGGAGTTAAATTTATCTATGGAAGGTTTTAGGTAAGTATATACCTAAAACCTTCCATAGATTAGTACAACCTTCCATAGAGTACTTACTTACGATTTACTTTCAAAGTTTTGTTAAAGTTGTCTGAAGATGTAGTGATAGATTTGATTATCGATAACCAAGTTTTGGGTTTGTTATAAGGATTGGTTAACTATAGTCCTAGTAATATTATAAATATGACAGTTTGTGAGAATGTATCGACGTATGTTAGTTATTCCTGCTAAAACAGCTGGACCAATTTGGTTGTTATTTGGTGTTTAGATAGGTGATACCTTGGATTACCATAATTCTACGCTTGTATCTTATAATGTTCAGTAATTGGCGATAATTAGATACACAGTTTTTCGAAACGTAATTATAAAAGTTAAACTCACCGGTGGCAATGTGATAGGTAGACTGTAATCTTCAGTTGCCTGTGTTTTCTTCTCAAATGGTCTCACGAAGTAAATGAGCAGTACCAGAGGAACGGAGAGAGCAGAAACTGCTCCGAACACCGCGGCAAACACCAGCCACGTCCAGTCCGGCATTTTGATCTAGCGATAATTACTGTGAACAAGAGAAGAAAATAAACAATTTTTATAGGCAAGAGAAAAATAAATCCTTAATTTGATAATACTTCCATTTGCCTAGTGGGCTTAACAAGTCTTAAAGTCTAAAGCTTGTTGATTGATATCGAAAAAAAAAATAACAAGTCGCTCACATAAGTACCTATGTACTTATTTTATCAATTCAACGCTAAAATCCCTTTCAAACTTTTATACCGAATCGAGTTTGGTCCTGTTCTATCTTATCTACCCTTGTTAAGGTACCGTAAAATGGTCCGTTGCCTAAACAAACAAACAAATCTAAACCCGAATAAGCTTCAAGAATAACAAATAAGAGCAAAGAGACATCGCGATACGCTTCGGAAGTATGAACGAAGATAAACTGTACTGCTTGCAGGTGTGAGGCTTAATATAGACCTGTTAGACAGTATTATTGGTACTAAAACCGGCATTTTGGCACATCTGTTCTGTAGGAAGCTTACAGCTAGAGTATTAATAGAGATTTGATTATCCATACTAAGATTATTAAGCTGGCAGTGGAAGTTTACGTCCGTGACAAAATGCAATAACTTCATTTTGACTGCACGGTTGCGGAGGCTGTGTAACTGGCTGCCGCTCAACGTGTCACGGGTTCGATTCTTGGTCGGAACAACTTTTTGTGTAATCCACAGATTGTTGTTCCGGGTCTGGGTATGATGTGCATGTGAAATTGTATGTTTGTAAATGCGTGGGTGTATTTACATACAGGATGCAGGCAAAATTCCCAGTTAGTATTTAAAAAATATATAAAAAAAATTAGTATTTAAAAAAAACTCGTAAATTTTAATGGAATTTAAAAAAAAAACATCTCTTTGGATTTAACAGTTTCGCCTTTCGAAGGAGTAACAGCCTTTAACAGGAGGATAGCAGCGCAACCACGTAGAAGAACTAGTTAACACAATAAACCTTAGAATACGGTGAAAACAACAAATAATCCCCCTAAAATCCGTCCTTTTTTCGGGATCCTTTCAGTACAATACAAGATTTTAATAATTTATTTCTAAAAGATCCTTCCTAGCATTTGCACGCAAACCATATTCGCTTAGATGATTGGCTCTATGGTATTACGGTTGGATAGCAGGCTTATCTTGTTTAGCTATAGCACCTGACCTCCTTTGTGCTTGGGAAGGCCGGTCACGACAATTTACGACTCAGGTATTGGCTAAACGGCCAGTATTCCGACCCTTACTAAAATTTTCAATAGTTCCAGGTACTTGCAAACTTTCAAACTCCCAACGACTGAGTATTATTTATTTAGGGTCCATAAAGTTTTGCTGTGATGTGAGGTGGACGTGAGTTGTAATAAATAATGAAGGTTGAAGTCAACTGTTTCTGAAATCCTCAGTTTTTAAAGCTTTGCCGACGCCGTCGCCGCCGACGTAGGTGCGTGTACAAACACTAATCCCATCCCACGTGACACAACAAATATTTGTTCTAGAATATTTATCATGCATTGTGGTAGCTTTGTTTATGTTAAGTCATTAGACCCTAAATTGTGAAGACGAGCGAATATTGAATGACATTGTTTATCTTCAAGTTACGTCCATGTCCTAATTTCTATGCTCAGTGTTCTTGTTCAGTGTCCCTAAGCCGTTTTAAAGCCTATTATGTATGGTATAAAGATTGAATTTTATTCCTCTTTCTTGTCGTTACACTATTTTCTAGTAATGCCTCAATTTCTTTAGCGCCTAAAAGGAACATTATAAACCTTTTAGCGTTACCCTTTACGAAGCGATGACATTTCCCAGTACTGTAATTCACTTTATGTTTTACCCGTCCCTGTACAATAAGCGGAAGGGTCTACGATATCTTGGCTTCTTCTGTACGATGTTCTTCTTAAAGATATTGGTATGGTCGATAGCCCGTAAAACTGTATTTCTTTTCTATATCGATATTGTAAGCAATGTGTGTTTCACATAAAATATGTATTAATACTAAAGAAAATAGAGAGAGAGGAAAATACCATGGACCCACAACTCATTTTTAGTATAGGAGAGCCGATACCACGGACTCACAGAAATTGTCGTCAAACAAGTCCATCGTTGTGTTTTACCCAATACCAATTCACCTCCTACAATACTTTACCAATCCCTAAATCATGGAAACACTAATCTCCAAAAGACCGGCGACGCACTTGTAACTCTTTTGGTTGCACGTGTCGCCGATTGCTCCCCATCATGTGATTAGTCTACTTGTTTGTCGTCCATTCTCAAAAAAAAACTCATGATGGCGCCTTCTTTTTTTCTTATATATTTAACTAGCTGCTCCCGTGCGGTTTCACCCGTTGTTCAGTTCTATTTGCATCTCATCGTAGCGTGATGTTTTATAGCCTATCGCACTCAGGAATATTGTAGCTATCTATCAGTGAAAGAATTTTGGCAATCCGACCAGCGGTTCCAAAGATTACCCTACATACATACTTACAAATTTTACCTCTCTATAATATAAGTATAGATTTCACTTCATTTATTTATGTAATTATAAAGTGAAGTAATTCTGCAAGAAGTTAGTTCTTTTATTTACACCTTGATTGTCATGTCCTAATAACATTGACGATGTTTAAAGTGAATCGTTTGTCCGACGACAACAAAATTAAAGACCATGAATAAAAAATTACTGGCAGCAGCAAACAACGTATTGGCTTCATTCATTTATCATGATAATATTGATAAGGTAGTTTAGTACAAGTATTGTTGGGTTAGTTATTTATTACAGTTCAAATTCCTATGAAGTTTTAGTTTTCCTTATACAAATATTTGGTTGTTGCAAAGTTGGTCAGTAACTTTACTAAGTAAAATATTTCGTGTTACTAAATGTAAAGTGGTTTTAATAGTAAAATCAGCTAATGTATACCTTCTTTACAAAGTAAATACTTCAGTAGAACTTATAAAAAATATTTTATCCATTGTAAGTTTTTAGTGCGAGCAGAGGGCCGCTTGCTTTCTCAACAAGAGTGTTGAGAAAGCAATTTTTCAAAAGACATTTTCATATGAATTACTTCTAGTACTTCATTTTGCTAAAATTCTAAACAAGGAAGTTTTTAAGTATGTACGAATATTTGTAATAGATTTGAATGTAAAATTGACACGCACATAGATTATATGTAGTCTGGAATAACATACGGAGATACGTTATAACCCGGAATCGGGGTGATGTCGCTATTATATAATATCTTATTATAAACACGGATAACGGCAGTCTACATTTTTTTTAATTTACATAAAATTAGATTGTCTTTCGAAAAAATATAGGTATATTTTTATATTGAATATTATTAACTTCTTTGTACTTGTTTCTAAACTTGACTAATCAAAGGAAAATGTTCAAAAAGGAAGTTCCTTTGATTGCGTCAGATCTTACATAAGTCTTGTCCACGTCAGACCCTTGATTGTACAGATGTTACATGACCATGTAACTGAAGGACGTCACTGAAAACAAAAACAACCCCTCTTGTTATGAAATGCCTACAGGTACGAAAGATACAGATGTAAATATTATTTTTTTTATTTTAAAATACAGACGGGTCCAACTCTGTCACACCCTACTCATATTTTATGTAATTTAATATAATGTATTTTTTATTTCAATTGTTCTTGAGATAGGCATTTGTCAAGTGCTCGTCGGTCAAATATAAGATACTCATATTTAGTTTATTTATTTTAATTTTATTAAACGGTTTTATTTTTAAAGATACTCATATCACATTTATCTACATCTTCAGACTATCTCCAACAAAGCACCCATACTTGGACCGCAAGGTTGGTGCAGTGCCTGGGAAACTGGCTGCTGTGCAACGTGTTACGGGTTAGATTCCCGCACGGAATAACTTACTACTTTGTGTGATCCACAAATGTTTTTCTGGGCTTGTGTGTATGAATTTGTATATTTGTAAAGCACCCACGACAAAAGACAAAATCTTAATGAGGGGCACAATAAAAAATCTATGTATGTAGATAAATAATATAACAATAAACTATGGTAAGGTATGAAATGGAAGGCATAAAATTTCAACCGAATCTATGTACCTAGTTAGTAACAAAGTCAAAACCATAAAAAGTGAGCCCGCATAAGGTAAACAGCAGGACTGAGAGTAAAACAACGATTTTACCATCATTTATCGACGTCACGAAGCGTTTTGTTAACTTCAGATTCAATGTTAGGACGGAAAGAACAATGCCTAGGTAATAATATGTTCTAGAATCTGTTTTCAGGTCGTTTGAAGAACATTTTCAGTGACTCACGAATTTTACAAGGAAATATGATGACGTATAATATTGTTAGGCCTTTTTTTGAGGTGAGTCTGGGTGGGGCGGTAGGGAGTATAAGACTCTTACTGAGTAAGGCTACCCCATTCCTTCTCCTGCTTTAGGCACGGTAGGAACAATATTTGCATTAGTTACCAATTTTATTCTACATTATTATAAAAGGCGTTAAAGATTTACTAACAACGGATTGTATAGTGTCGCTTTATATTTTTTTATTGTTTTGTTTTTTATATTTACCTTGTGTAAAGTAAATCAAAAGATGACTATAATAATACAACTTATTAAAGATTAATGCCCAGTTTCCAAAAAGCCCGATCAATGTTAAAATCAGCTAACTAGGTGTCCAATCTCTCTTAAAGTCATCTGATTGGTTGTTGATAATTCAGTCAACCAATCAAATGACTTGACAAGAGATTAAATTGATTTTAACATTGATCGGCCTTTCGGAACCTGGGTGTAAGTTGGTTAAGAACGTCAAAACCGAAAAATACTAACCACCAAAATGAAGGTAGCAGCAAGTATGTTCATTAGAAACATTATTTCACACAATTTATGACGCAGTTTTAACGCTTATAAAAGGTCTATCAAGGAAGAATTGTTCAAAAACAGCTCCGTTAAAATCTAAAGCTTTTTCTTACACCTCATATTAAACTTGTTTATGGTCCATAATTTCACACCCACCTGTTTCACCCCAAAG